TGTTCCTACACAGCTAAGCAGATTTACTCCGTCAAATTCAAGTCATAACTATTTAATACATTTTAATTTGTAATTAAAAATGAGAAACTTACAAATTATTTTATTTAGGCCATAACAAATTAAAGAAATTACAAATTAAGTGATTAATCATTTCCAGAAGATCCTTGGTGTATTTCAGTAAGAATAATATGAATGACTTCAAAATAGATTTGCTCCATTTGTTTACTTTCTGGTTCACTTTTCTAACCAATATTTTTTGTCACAACATAATTTATATTTTAGGGTTACCGTTGTCGTCTTAAATCTTTCGGGTTGAGTTTCTTCATTGTTGAGCTTGTGCAATTTTTTAGCTTCTTGATGCCCTTCATAGAAAGGGCTGTGTTCATCCTTTGTCATCAAGTGCTGAAGGAAAAAAAAAAGAAAAAATAGCAACCATGTGAGTACAGTGAGGACTTTGGTAGTGTAAAGCAGTTTGAAAAAAATATTTTTTCAAACTGCTTTCAGTTATCTTTTTTTTACACCCTTTGACAATAAGCTGCACTCATTCTAATGAATGCAGAATCAACAAACCCTAACTCCCTATGGCAGGCAAACAAGCATGGGGTTTTTTTGTTGCTGGCTGGAAAGGGCACAGCTAAACGAGAAACAAAACAGTAAAGTGCAAGGGGTGCAATTTAACTCTAGTCCATACTATGAAGGTCTAATATTAGCTCTTCAAGTGTCATGTTACTATACAGGCTGGGATTTTTTCCCCTTCAAAATCACTTGAGGAATTATAGGGTGATTGTGATCATGAAAAGGCAACTTTCAGTCAGGGAAACCTCGAGTGAGCAGATTTTGAGGGCTCTTCCAGATGAGCCTTAAGCATGCAATTTTTCAGAGGGTCCAGGAAACACACTGTCACTCTTGAAATGGACACTGTCATTTCTGGCCTTTTGCAAATTAAGGAAATAATCCTACTGATCCTTTATGTTGTTTTTGGCAGGGAGGCATAGGATGGTTTGGATTCCCAGTTCCAATGCCTCTGCTGCTCTTCCTGTTCTGCACTGGGATGCCTATAAGCCTCTAAACTGAGGGCTTAGAGGCATCCCCATAAAAAGTCAGTGTTCCGAAAATTCCTAAGGGGTGAGTGAAGCGCAGCTCTGCGGAGGGTGAAGCAACCATTTGCCCACGCTGGCTACAGGGCTGGGCAACTCCTACATCTAGATGCCCTTGTGGGAGAGGAGCTAGTCATGGTGGTTGGAAAACTAGGAGAAACACTGTGCGTCATATTTTGAGAAAAGAGTTCAGATAAATATATGGAATGATGCACAAAGAAGACTTGGCTTGGGCACTTCCATAGGACTGATGGATTCTTAGGAATATGGATGCAAATTATAATATCCACTCTATTTATTTATTTATTTAGAAAATGTCTA